AGATTTTCATTAGATTCATAACAAAAGCTTACAAACTTTCTTGAGTTTATATGTGGAAAGATTCAATCTTTCTGGTTCTAATCCTCACAGAATCTCTCTTACAAAGAAGGTTCCAAGCAAGAGAGCACCATGAAAACTGAGACTTAATTCAGACAAACTATGCTGTATTGTATACTAAATATATGTTCAACGTTGTATTTAACCATTATTTTTTGTTGATCAATAATTAGTCTTTAGGAATAGTGTTAAGATTTGTGATGAAAAACAACCACAACAATTAATCAGACGACTATGTTTAGCGTTTAAGAAAAAAATATTTTGAAAAACTGATTTTTTTTTATCTTTTCCGAATCATCCTTTACTTAAATCCTTGCTATATGCCGATCATATGTAATCTCATGTCGATCTCCTCCGTTGTTGTGGGCTTTCGAGTCGTTAAGTTTGGCCAGGTCTTATCTAATCTCAACTATATAACTACAATCGTCGTTCATGGCACAATGTCGTGAAAAGAATATTCGTATAACGATTAAACATAGCCAAGCAAAATAATGCACAGTTTAAAGTTTTTTTGTTATTTTTTTTGATAATTCACGATAAATCCTAGGCCAAAAGATCCAGACTAATCCCTGGAAGAGGTACAACCCATAGATAGATCCTCTCTCCGGATATGCAAATAGGCTGAAAGCAAGAGCTCATATCTATGCGAGTGTCCAAGATAATGTGACTTAGTTTATTATCCATGCGAGTGTCCAAGATAATGTGACTTAGTTTCGCATAACAGGTGAATCGAACCTGGAACGTGTTAGCGGCCCAGTCTCGTTTTTTTACAACTTGACCACGGTCTCCTAAACCGTTTAAAGTTAGTTCTTGGTAGTTACTGTTGGAACCCGTTAGGTCTAACAGTTACGACGTACGTGTTTGCTACTCTATGCTTTACTTTCACTGAATATAGATTTGTCTTTATATATATGGCTCTTTAAATTATGTCGGCTAGGACTTTTCAAAGAGGACCCGTAAAAGTACAAAATCCGTCGACTTGACTTTTGGGTCCAA